CCTGCATTATTCTGTAAAAAGAGTACTTTAATTTAGACTATTTTAATCTGCTTTACATTCCATTCAACTTCACAGTTGTATAATTACTGAGGTGAAGGGAGGTACTTCAGAGCAAGTGAGAAGAGATTCAAGTCCTTGACTTTGTGGTAGGGATAGAGATTAAAGCATATACCAAGGGTGGGCAATTATTTTGGGTAGAGGGCTGCTTAATGAGGTTTGGTGAGCTGTTGAGGGTAGCCCTGCCCCGTGACAGTTGCCCTGTCCCTCGGTTGCCATTTTGGGACCGGAAGTCCTAGCCCCTGACCTTTGCCACCCAAAGTGTTCCCCCTCCCCGCCCCCTCCTACTCCTTTGGCAGGGGTTGTCATCTTACAACCAGAAAAAAGCAACTCATATGCTAAAAGTCAAACACCTACTATAATGTATTTTAATTTTATTACAAAAAATATTTTTGTTGTGATTTGTGTTTGTGTTGTATATAGAGGTGATTGCATGATAACTTAAAATGAATTCTTAGTCTCTTATGTTGTGTAGGGGTGTGTGATTGTGTGTGTGCATGGTGGGGGGTGGGAGGATGTGGGGGAGTTTGTCAGGGGATGTGGCTGTGTGTGGGGGCATAGGGTATGTTGGGGGGGTGTCTGTGGGATGTGGGTGTGTGGCTCTGGAACACACTGGTCTCTCTTGCAGTCAACAAAGGCAATACTGCTGAGGTGTATGCGTGTGTGGCATTTGTGGGGTGGGAGAGAGGGTGGAAGGAATGTGGGGACCCCCCACACGCACATTCCCACCATGGTGCAGCAGCAGACAGCGGTGCTGGCTCTGGTGCCTGGCTCCAAACAGCACTGCACGTTGCAGTATGGAGTGCAGCCCCTGCTGGGCAGTCTATCGCTAGCACTCCCCGCACTCATGTAGCAGGGGGGGGAAGGCCCAGGCACTGGAGCTGGCTGCCTTCCCTGCCCCAGCCGGCACTAGTGCCTGGGGCTTCCATCCTGTGCTGAGCAACTGTGGGGAGCACTGGCAATACAGACTGCCTGGCAGGGGCTGCACTCTTCACAGTGTTGTGCAGAGCTGGCCAGAGCCAGGCACCAGCACTGAGCACAAGCACAACCCCCACCTCCTCTCACCACTGCTGTTGCTGCCCCTGCTGCCTACCAGGGCTGTACGCCATGTGGGGAGTATAGGAGGGGCCCCCTCCCACACACACACTGCCCAACCTAGTTCTGCACTGCCACTGTCCCTCTGGGCACAGGCTTCACACTGCAGCCAGCCAGAGACCCAGCCCCAAGCTCTGCAGTCCAGCTTAGCTGCAGGCCCTCCAACCTCTCCTTTCCCTACCTGATACCCGGAGGGAGCGGCATGCAGGGAAGCCTGCAGCAGCAACCCCACCCAGTGCTAATGGGGCTGGCCCTTTTGCCCATGAGGTTAGGAGTGAGGTATAATAGGGTATGTTGGGGGTGGGTGTAGGTGCTTCACTCCCACCCCCATAGGCAGAAAGGTTGGGTGGGGCACAATTTGTTGTGGGGCCCTGCAGGCCGGAAGAAAGTGCCTGGCGGGCCAGATTTTGCCCACCCCTGGCATATACAATACTTGAGTGTTCTCATCCAAAGAAAAGAGAATAGACTGTCTGTTATCTTTCAGTATTTTGAACACGTTGAAGAAGCTACCTGGGCAGTTGAAGTCTTAAAAGAATCTGGGAAGCCAGTTGCAGTTTCTTTGTGCATTGGTCCAGAGGGAGATATGCATGGTACACCTCCTGGAGAATGTGCTGTCCAGCTGGTAAAGGCAGGTAAGTGTCAGTTTAGGAGTTCATTTATGTGGGAAAGAATATTTAGGCAAATGGGACAAACTGAAGTAAATAAGGTAGATAATACATACATCATAACTAAGTAGTCTAGGCCATGTCTACAGAGTAAGCTTACCAAGGCCAGCAGTAATTCCCTCCAGCTTAGTGCTGCTTTAGGCAAGTAACCTCATAAACTGGAAGCAGTGTAGCCACATCCATGTAGCAGTGTTAGGGCTGTTTAACCCACCCTATCAGCAGTGGTAATTGGCCTGCCTCTAGCCATTTAGCCAGCCTGTAGCACCACACAGATGCAGTTCGTGCAAGGCAGCAGGCAGCTGTTTGACGAGCTGTTCCCAAGTATGCTAAGTTTATCAGGTAGACATGGCTTTTCTGATTTATAATTAATATGCGTAATCCAAAATTGCTTTCTCTTTAGACTGTTTTTGTATGCAGACTTTACTAAAGAAACCTTTAAAAAAAGCAGAATAATTCCTGTGCTTTGGTAATCCTTGTTGTTCAAGCAGTCTAATGGGCCATGGGCAGCTAAGATTAAGTAGAGCACTCCTACAACTTTTCTACTTCTGGCTGCAGTGCTAATTCCAATACAGAGAATACCAACATGGCTGAAGGAATAAAAAGAACCTAAAGCCACCTTTTCACCATCTGATTGCAGAGAAGAAAAGAAGTAGAGATGTTTGGACAAGAACTGCATATAGAAAGGACCCTAAGAATGGATCATGTGTAGGTTGGGTAATGCAGGGTTTTTTATTGCATTTTCTGCACCCAAGGCTGGTACAAGGGCAGAACTTAGGAAGACAGAAAACTAGCTTTACCTTATATAGCCATAACTATATACCATGTTTGCTGATGCAGTGCTGCAAAGAAATGCAACCGCACAGGGATGAAGAGTGTGACTGATGTTGTGGAATCAGGAAGGCAGCAGGTAGATGTAGATGCTGACAGGCATGATTTGTTGACAAGACAATGGCATAGGGGAAGGTAGGGCTGGTTTTGCTCTGACTGTCTTGTGTTCATAATATTAGTGTGCAGATTAATTTGCTTCCAGAACACCTCAGCTAAGAATTTTAATATTCCCTTAAATCATTCCACAGTTCCTGGAAGGCAGCATAATTGAAAAGTCATTTTCCTTACCTCCTAGGTGCTTCTATTGTTGGGGTGAACTGCCATTTTGACCCAGACACTTGCCTAAAAACTGTGAAGCTCATGAAAGAGGGCTTACAGGCTGCTAAGCTGAAAGCACACCTGATGTCTCAACCACTTGCTTTCCACACCCCTGATTGCGGGAAGCAGGGTTTTATTGATCTTCCAGAATTTCCTTTCGGTAAGATTTGGACACGTCTTACGCTGCTTGTTAATTTTTCAGGTTTTAGCAAAGGCTTCTTTATATTCACTATGATAAATGTACATCATCCTCTTCTGAAGTTAAAATCCTGGAAAGTAATTTCAGTTGGTATTAACCAAAAAGTGATTATCTCTAACACTGTGCAGGTATACTTCCAGTAAATGGAGGTTGTAGTTGAGAGGCATCAAGGAATGAACTAAAATTAAGTTGTGAAAGGAATAGTTTAAAAAGCCATGGGCTGAAGTCCTCTAGTGTAACTGGATGAACTTCCATTGACTTCAGTGAAGGGTCCCTTTTTACTTAGGTTATTTCTGAAATTTACATCCTTAAACAATAAGGTTCACCACAAAGCTGGAGAGTAAAAAAGTCAGACCCAACACACAGATAGACACAGTACACTCATCTTTTGTTTTTTCTGTGACTCTAGGGGAGCTCTTTTTAAAAATAATCCTACACTTTAGCTTGAATTGTTGCCATATATCTCATCCAAGCAGCTTAAACACTGAAGAAGCAGCTTCACCACACGCTCAGAGTCCCAGACTGCAAATTCAAATAGGGATGTTCTCTGAGAGGATCTCTCTCTACACACTCTAAAGACTTCTCTACATCACTGGAGTCCCTACATTTGTAACTAGGGACATATCTAAATCGTAGTTTCACGGATTTCACATAAACCACAGCATTGTCTACGATTGCTGGAAAAACTGCCATTGGCCATGATTTCCCATGAAATCAAACAAAACAAAAAAGGCAGTAGTGATGTAGACTAAGTGAAGGCAACTTCCGCCAATTAGTGGTGAGACAAAAAAGTAGCAGTGTTGTAGACTGAATGAAGGTGCCCTCCACCAATTGGCAGCAAGGGCTGGGAGCACCAAGGCCCCTCTACCTAAGGATCTGAAGATAGTTAGATGTTTAACTCAAGAGTTGCTAAATAAGACAAAAGCCCATATTTCAGTGTGTCTTTTGTGGTTTACATTTTAAATACACATCCAAAATATGGCACTTAGCACTTTATCTGAGTCAGAATTTAGGAAATGCAGTCTTTTTGGACCAAGTAAACTTATGGCAAGTGTTTCACAGGGGAACATCATGAAATCTAAATACCACAGTGTAATGAGATTTTTTTTTTATCATTAATCTAGACTAAGATATTTTTAACCTTTACTATAGAAACTCACTCATGTCTCTAACTTTGCACTTAACTGTAGATGAGAATGTAAAATGATGACGTTTTGCTACAAATTTGCTAAACAGTGTTTTATTGATATTAAAGCTGGTACATATCATTATAGGTCTGGAACCAAGAATTCTCACCAGATGGGATGTTCAAAAATATGCAAGAGAGGCCTATAACATGGGAATCCGGTATATTGGAGGCTGCTGTGGATTTGAGCCTTATCACATCAGAGCAATAGCTGAGGAGCTGGCCCCTGAAAGAGGATTTTTGCCAGAGGCTTCTGAGAAACATGGTAGCTGGGGAAGTGGTTTGAGCATGCACACCAAACCTTGGGTCAGAGCAAGGTATATATATATATATATATATTTAACTATAGCATTAAAATGACACACTGTGCCTGCACTGTACAGTAGTTCATGTTGGTCTATACAAAAAAAATATGTTGATTTGTAATGTTGAAAGATAAGATCTAATCTTTAGAAATTATCCCGGCACGCTTGACTTCAGTGGGTACAGATTTTCACCTCAATTTGTTAAGGTTGAGATCTGAAAAGTCTCTGAGCTTGGTGGGTTGGCCTCTCAGTATCTCCAGTACTCTCACTGAGATTTAGGAGAGTTGTGGCTTTTAGGGTTTTTCAGAAATCAAGAACTGTGTCTAAATATACAGTAGTGCAAAGTGGTCCACTGAACTTTCCTTTTATATATAAACTTATGCATCATAGAGAAGGTGCCCTGGATGCTTAGGCCTTGGACATACACTCTATATGCCCTTATGTTACAAAAAGCAAGCATGCGTATAATCTGTGCTCTCTGGAGCTGCCACAGAAATAGCACATCTGCCACAAAAATGTTCTTGTTTTAAAACAGGAGCTTCTTTGTAATGCTACCTTTATTTTTAGTGGCACTTTACATGAAGTTCTGTATGGGGTCTCTCGGACCCCCAGCATCCCACAATTCTCTGCTTTCCTCCCCCTCTCCAATGGGGAGGGAGGGAGAATGGCTAGCTCCTTGACAGCCTGCAAGAAGGAAAGCTGCAGCTTTTGCTTTGGTGGCTATCAAAGAGCCATTACTGCCCTGTTTTGCATGGCAGCAGCAACAGTTGATCACGTGGCAGAGGCAGTGAGCCTGTCAGAGGCTGGAAGGAGAAAGGGGAGAGGCCCTTTTGCCCCTTGGTGGGAGAGCATATTTTTTCAGAGGCTTGTGGCACTCCAGTCAAGTGGTTCTGTACATGTGCATGCCCCAAAGTGCTCTTTTTTGGTATTCCCATCAGGTACTGTGCTGTGCCCTAAATGAGGGAAGCATGGTGATTGGTAAATGCAGCTAGTACCTTCCATTGATCATTTCTTCTATTAGTGCAAGTGAAGTTGGGTATTCATCCCATACTAACTTGAAAAGTCTTATGAAATCTCTGAAATTTATTCCCAGTTTACCAACATAAATGACAAGTTTATGTTTGAAAAAGAATGAAATGCTCACAGAAAAAAGATCTTTAGAGAAGTAATTTTGCCTAACAGGCCTCCCCAGACTACTTTGATCAGGATTGGCCTTTGTATTTATATCTGCGCATATTTTTAGTGCACTTGTGTTGGCTTGTGTGTGTGAAAGATTTCCTGATTTAAAGGGAATTCTTGTACATAAAAAGGATGCCCCTTTTAAAATGAAGAAAATGTCACAGGCTTTAATTTAGAACAATGTGAAAGTAAGTCTTGCATGTTAAGATATAGAATGTAGACAGAGTGCCATGCTAATAACTCCTGGTGGTGAGTGACTTAATGTTTCTTGAAGAGATGAAAGACATTTTTCAATACCTGGTCACCCCAGCCCACACTCAAATCTCTATATCTAGACCCAATATTAATTTAAAACTTATGCTAATGAAATAAATACCCCTGCTGTGAAGGTTTGAACAATGATTCTTTAAATATTTTGGGTTATTATAACACATGCTAAAGTGCCTCTTCTTTATATAGGGCCAGAAAAGAGTACTGGGAGAATCTGCTGCCTGCTTCAGGCAGGCCATACTGTCCTTCAATGTCAAAGCCAGATGCCTGGGGAGTGACAAAAGGATCTGCAGAGCTGATGCAGCAGAAAGAGGCAACAACTGAACAACAGCTGAAAGAGCTCTTTGAGAAAGAGAAGTTCAAATCCAATATGGTTGCTTAAATGTCATCTTGAATTATGTATGGAGCCCTTCCAAATGTGTTTCCTTACCATTTGGAATTTGTGAGGGCATGTGTCCATGTTTAATGTACCAGTTGACATGTAACAGTGAAACTAAATGCAGACAGACTGTGATTACAAATGATCTATATCAATCCTTGATAATAAACTACTTTTCTGTAAGAACCCTTTAGACATTCTGTTATTTCAAGGTAGGGAACTTTGAGCTATATTAATAATTTGGCTACCATTACAATTTGAAAAGTGTGATGATGATGAATATTTTAGTACTATACTAGAGTAAACCACCAGTGCTGTTTGGCTTAGCTTACTGATACAAGGGAATAAAGCTCTTGCCTTTTGCTATGTGAAAATAATATCACATCACTGGATCGCCATCTTGGGTTTCCCATGGGTTTTCAGCATGAGACTAGGCAGGAACTTCAACAGATCTCAAGATTTGTTGACCTTTTGAGGTCCTGGGAAGGGCACTTTAATACTGCGCCAACTGCCAGTACTTCAAACTCACCATCAGGCATATATGTCAAATGGAATTTGATTAAATGTGAAATAGTGACAGTGTACCTGGGCTTGGCAAAAGGTCAGTGCATTAGATGGGCAGATCCAGAGGACTGCAGTGGCATGGTTGCACCCAGATTTCAGACTATGATGTGGGAGCAGCAGCCAGGAACTTTTAAGTCCCTGAATTTGGTAAGAATTCTCCTTCCCTCCCACTTTCTCCCATGTACTCAGTGGCACCTGTTTCAGCTGGGCTATGTGATATGGGCTCAACCTAGCACAGTGGCAGTGTGGGTGGCCAACACCTGCTCTAATTAAATTGTTTTGTACAAACTATTTTTCCATGTAATCAGAGCATACTCAGCCTGGGAGCAGGCTCAGGGAGGAGGAACATGCCCACTGCTGCTGCTCTCAGCTAAGCCCAGCTTCCCACAGCCTGGCTGGAGAGGGACAGGACCAGCTCTGAAGCACTACCTCCGCCCTTCCCCCCACCCCAGCCAGCAACAGGACAGCAGCATTGGTGGGTGGGGGAGGAGAGATCCGCTGGTCATGGAAGGGAAGGAAGAAGGTGCCAAGAGCAGGGCGTGGGTGGCATTCTTACCTGATTTAGAGATGTAAAAAATGTCCCTGGCTGCTGTTCCTATGGCATGGTCTGCCTGTCCGAGGAGGCTAGGAACAGCTGCAGCACCGGTTGCTGCTCCCCTTTACAAAGTCCTGGATCTGCCCACAGTGCATTAGTATGTAGTGAACAATAAACAGTAATGCTGTAAGAAATCACCAAGCAGCCACAAAGAAGAACCAGGTTTTTAACATAACTGTGGGGGCCTTATACCAAGTCATATTTTCGAGGCTCCCTTTCTACCCACTCTTCTACAGTTTATAAATTGCCCATACATTTTTAAATCAGAGTCAGCATTGGGAGGTCCCTATATAAAGGTCAGTTCTATGGTTTGAGAGCCCCCAGTTTAAAAGTCAATAGTTTGCAACATTTGCATATGCTCTTCTGTTCTTCTATACAGACTCAATTGAGCACCAGCCCCAGACTTTGTTCTGCTTTTCTCTCCAGAACGTGTAGAGGCTTTAGGGACTTCTGTTTCTTTGCCAATAAGCAAAGGAAGGTAGGGGGAAGGGATTTTTCTCTCACAGCTTTTAATCTGTTTCAGCAGAAGCTTCCTATTTATAGAGTTCCAGGAGTCTGCAGTTCCGGGGAACAGAGATTGAGTTAGTTGCCTTGCCTCTGCTATCAGAGTAATTGGGATAATATTATTTCTACCCATTTCCTGCTTACCAGTCTGCCTGATACCTTTGTGCATTTCAGGCAAAAGAGACTTGTTTTAGTTTTGTAAAGAAGAAAACTCTAGAGTGTCCTGTAGGAAACTGCAGAGTTTGCATGATGCCCGCAGCAGCAGCTTCTTCCCCTTGCTTTGTGGAGCAAGAGGAGACAGCTGTTCTCCAAGACACGCTGAAATCCCCTACTGTTGCCTGCTATCAGATTTCTGACTCCACAGGGGAAAATATAATCCCCTATCACAGTGAGAAATCTCCAAACTCCCCTGGCTGGAGCAGTGGAGTGTTTTAGCCAGTGTTTTCTACACAAGTATCACATTTTCTTTTGCTAGGAAAGGGAAGGAAAAATATCTGTGCCTTGACCATAGGCATACATGGTCTGGTCTCTGCTTCTGTGAAATCCATATATGCTAGTCTGAGATGAAATCCATTCATGTATTGTTCTTCTTGAGCTCTGCTGACACCAGTGAAATATTTAACACCACCTCATTTAATTCTCTGAGGTGTTAAATTATTTTAAATGCAGGTTTCATTGATTTAAGACAGGGGAATGTTACCATAAGAACTTCAACATGTTGATTTATCATATAGATGTGTTTGTATTACATTTTCTTTATGAATCCATCTCCTCAGCAGATGTGGCATCTAGCACAATACATTTCATGAGAGATAATAGAGCACCCTTCAGGACCTGTAATTTTAGAGAATCTGTGTAATAATCAACGTCCTGTGTGAATATACATATGTAAAACTTCAGAGATAGACAACAGTGAATATTCCTCACACTTGAGACAAGAAGACAGGATTTTAGTATAGTTTGTTGAACTTTTCTGGGCATTTCTCTGGGTAAAAGGGAAAATCAATGGAAACAGACAGCTTTCAGTGGAGAATTGAGGAGATAGAGAAGTAGGAGGCAAGTGTGCATTTTTGAAGAGATGAATTACAAATTAGGTTCAGAAACATTTTACCAGCTTAAAAAACTCATTGATCCTAACTTTTCTCAGCAAAATTACAATCAGACTGTCCGTCCCATTCATGTAGTAAATGGCATTACAAATTATTGTTTGTATTAGTCTACTTAATCAAGATTAATCAATCAAAGGCAATCCTACACTACAAACATTAGCCAATATAGCAATGTTATTTAGGATTTTTTTGGCAACATTTAGATTTTGGCAATGCTCCTAGAGGAGACATAGGTATCCCAACCTAAAAGTGCTTCCTTTGGCACTGGTTATGTCACCCATTGAATCTCTATTCTAAACTCACTATTTTGCTCATCTACTCTAGATTAGGTGGATTTTGCTGAAATAGCAAAAGAGTAAGTAGGTCAAAGCAACTATCCAATATGCCTATTTGTAAATTGTTACTTTATGCAACTGGACCTAGTTATTATCATTTAAACGGCCCAGTTTACTACAGTATATTAATTTGCATATACTGTAATACATTCATAAACTACAATATACTGGTAACTTTCCTATACAAAGGAATTTCTTCTCTTGTGTATAGTTTCCTGAAACTTGAGATTTGTCATATTAATCCAACTGCTTTTTTTTTTAAATCCTGCCAGAGCATGGCATGTAAAGACATTTTGCTTGGCACACACACCTTGGGGCGGATAGCGAGGGAGCTGCGAAGAGCTGATCCTTGTCATGACAGCACAGCCCCAGTCCCTTATCTGCTGTCCACCCCAAGGCGTGCATGCACCTGCTGCCAGCTGCCTTCTGCGAACAGCCTAGGCTCCATGGCGGGTGGCATGGGGCCTGCCCAGTGCCTGCGCTGGCTTTGGCAGGCAGCCTGGAGACTGCAAGCAGCTGCACTGGGGTCTGCAGAGCCCAGCCCAACTCACTGCTGGTGGCAGGTGCACGCACGCCTCAGGGTGGACAGTGGGGAAGAGGCTGGGCCTGCACTGCCAGAACAAGGATTGGGCACTTGTGATTCCCCCACCATCTGCCCGGAGGTGCACATGCAGTCGCTACCAGCAATGAGCCAGCCTGGGGCTCCACAGACCCAGGTACAGCTGCTTTCAGCCTCCTGGCTGCCTGGCACAGTCAGCCCAGGCTCTGGGCAGGCCCCTGCTGCCCACCTCGGAGCCCGGGCTGTTCGCAATAGGCAGTGGTGAGGCTGCAAGCAGCTGTACGGGGGTCCATGGAGACCCAGCCTGCCTTGTTGCCAGCGGTGGGTGCACACACACCCTAGGGCGGACAGCAAGGAAGAGGGTGCAGCTGTGTTGCCACAACAAGGATTGGGCCCCTCACAGTTCCCTCACCATCTGCCCCGGTATGCCAACAAGTTTACAAGTTGAGGTTATGGGTGTTTTTGGCACTCTGCACAAAAACATTGCCAACACCTGCTCTAATTAAATTGTTTTGTACAAACTATTTTTCCACATAATCAGAGGATACTCAGAATTATACTTTTCATCCATGAGGCTTCTAAAAATTAAGCCAACACTGCCTCCTTGTGATTCTTTATATAGTTACAAAGGGAAGAATGTGAATTTCAAAGAGTTACTGGATTAACGGTTGCATATGAATGCTGAAAAACGTATCACAGCAATAATTTGTTTTTAATTAAATTGGTTTAATGTGAGAACAGAATCTATCCTATGTGTATGGTTACTGTACAAATAAAGCTTTTCTTTGAAAGCTGTCACAGGTAACGTAATCCCAAACCATGCAGCTTTGGTTATTTGCACTTTGCCTGTCTCAGGAAAAGGAACAGACAGGAGTGTATTTTTGAGTACAGTCATGTCAGTACTTCTGAAAAAACCACCCAAATTTAATATGTATAAAATATATATTTAATTATAGGGAATCGGATAATGCAAAAACATGAAGTTAAAGATTTTTTAACAATAGGTAGTGTATAACTGCAAATCTATTACAGACAATTTCCCACCTCCCCCACTTCACACACATGCTTCAAAGAACTGGAGTTTCTCCTTGATCCTCTAGCAGGGTTCTCCCTACAACTATGGAGTGAATTAAGACTCTTTTCTGTAAACAATCTTCTGGCTATCTTAATGGTATTATTTATGTTCATAAACTAGTTATGTTTTATGTCCTAGATTTGTGTTTGATATCCTATATTTTATGTCTTGGATTCTAAGTTCAAACCTACTATTATTATATCAATTCAATACAATTTATTCTGCTACTTCAGGACAAACAAACAAGATTCTTAAAATAATAAATATTGACATTCATTACTGGGAACACAATTACCATTCACTTGGTTCACATGAGGTCATGCCTGTTCCATTCCCTTTGCATTGATATGGCAGCATAAAGAGAGTCAGAAAACCCAAAGTTGCATAAAGACTCTATACCACCTGTCCCTCCCCACACCTGGGCACAGGTAATATTCCAGAGGTTT